GAGCTGCTGAAAGAAGTTTTAAACCTGACATATGGACAAAAAAAAAAGTGTCAAGCCAGGAATTATGGTTGGCAAAGGGAAGATTTAGGATTCTGGCCCTCTTGTACCTCTACCTGAAATCAAAATACCATTGCAACTCATTTCTCACACTCACAAACATCACAGTAATCTACAGAATAAAGGCAACAAGGAAGTATGCCCAAAGGAGAAGGTTTCTGCTGAGTATATTGAGAGACCCTGTAATGTGAATTTCAATAGCTAAATGTCTTGCATCTGTCCCGTGATTGTCCCATAAAGACAAGTACCTCAGTTCAGGCAAAAGAATAGAGGTGACAAGTGCAACTAAATTGAAATGGCACAGTTTAACTAAGTTTCTGCAATTTGGAAGACTAAAATTAATGGAACAGCCAATTTATTGTACTTCATAAAACACAAACAGATTTATCTTAGTTTTGAAAGTGGTTTACCACACTTATTCTTCATTTTTAACTTTCTGCAGAGCAAAACTTAAAACTTAACTGAAATAACACTTATTTTTATATACTGCATGTATAATGGTTAGTCAGTTCCAATGAAAAAAGAGAAATTAGCAGAAATATTGTACTGACTTTGAAAAAAAGATTAGCCAAAAGATTATTTATAAAAGATACCAGGATTATAAAAAGATAGAGAACTGCGTATTAGCTGAAAACGCATACTAATTGTACTAAATTTTTCATTAGGCCACTGCAAATCATGAAAGGCATCATAAGCAAGAATACATTAAAACAGAGCAGCACATAACGCAGTTAAATGTGCATAAGAAAGGGAAAAACAAGAAAGAAAGATAGCCATCCAATTTCCTAAGTATTATTTAAAGTGAAGGAAACATGGATTTTAATTATATTTGGGGTTATACTTTAAGGTTTAATGTAGAAATTTTGAAGAACTGTTCACAGTTAGTATTTTATATTGTCCATGGAGTACAATCACAGGCAGACACTGGAACACAGAGAGTCCATGAAAACATGTATGTCAGACAGCTTACAGCAAACAACATCAACATGACAAAACCAGGAAGAATATTTTAGAAAAGAAATGATAATGTTAAAACATTTACAGCTGAAGCAAAAGATTGTGAAGAGCATAAGCGTGTTTGCAAAACGAAGTGCTACTGAAGACACGGAACTGCAGTTGTGCATCAATGGCAAGCGTAGTTGCTTTTCCACTCCATATTCCAGGCATTTTTGGTGCTATGTTAGTACACAGCAATTGTGTACTACCACTGCTATTGTCAATAGGCTACTCCAAATAAATATTTAACTGTTTACAGTTCAGTGGGGGACAAGGTATAAAAACATGCAGTTATGCTTCAAAGGACATTAAAACATTTCATTAATTATTTAATGTCATTGAAATAATCTCAGATATTTAATGCATTTTCCTTTATGTGACTTTTATCTATTGGGCATGCCAGGTAACACGCAAGTTTACCACTGTAAAAAAAGTAATTTGTGAAATGCAAAAAGGTTACATCCTATAAAATAAAGACTGAATTCAAATATGTATATGACCAGCTTAAAAATTATCACGTCAGTTGATAAAGGTAATTTACTGCAGTATAAATATATGAATGTACTAGGACACAAAAAACAAAAAGCAAGTGATCCAAAGGAATCATGAAGGCTATACTAAAACTGTACACCAGAAAAAGTCACTGAAGGTACTGGTTTCCCTTTTAGTGAATACTTATATAAGAATACTTAAAATTTTATTAATTTATTAAACTGAAGAGGGATGCAAATATGAATCTAAGTATCTTTTAAAGTATATCAAGATTAAAAATTGAAGCTTTAAAACTTTATCTATATAAAGTTGTGATTTTTAGATTTATGAAATCAATGTAAATAAACTAAGGGACAAAAAGAAATCCCTAGAGTTTACAGTAGTTACTAATGTTACCACATCAGTGCTATTGGAAAAGTACCTATTTAAAAAATGGCTTCCTAAAGAGCTGAAAGCATATCTTAAAATTCGGACTCCTTTACCATTATAAAATTGCTATAATTTATGTTACAGACATGCCCAGCGCCATGCAAGTTGTTACCCTGCCCTCTCTCTTTACCACTGACCTATCACACGTACTGGGACAGGCTTTCTGAACCATGCAGTAAACTGGACTATGAAATTAAAATTAAAAATCAAAAATTTAACTCAGATTTGTTTTGGAATTGGTTCTTTTTTCACCTGAATTGGTTACTTCATATGATTTGGGAACAGCCACATCACTACCTGTCTGAACAGGGAAAAGGGTGGAAAAGGTAACACACTACCCTCTCTTCCCCTTGAAGAGGGAAAAAAAAAAAAACCCAAAACAAACAAAAACCACAATTTGGCAGAATTTAATTTTACTACTAAAAAGTGAAATTGAGCTTCCACATAAACCATGAAAAATGTTACCACTGACAGCAGCAAATGTAATGAGCACTTCATAAACTCACCCCTTTATCTCCTCTTGTCTTGGAATTGAATTTCACTGTCTTTAACCGGGCTCGTTCTTTTTTCTCAACTCTACCAGAAAAGGACAAAAGTTGAATTAGCAAAATTCCATCTTGAATCTCCAAGTGAATCTTGGACTAATGGAAGACAACAGGAGCTGACCAGTAACTTCATCAAGAAAGTTACTTATGTTCTACTACTGGCTATTCTTACAGCTACCTCAAGCAACGTCTGTGTCAGCAATCAGCTGGCAATTAATGCATTCCAGCCATCTACAGTAGTGGGATATGATCCTGGTCACTAAAGTAATTGTGGGGTAAGTTACAGATGTGTAAAAGGAAATGTCAACAAGATAGTTTGTATTCATAAGCTTTGCTTTCCCCCTAGAAATTCAGATTAGGTATGTCTGACAGCAGGTTTGCACTCCTCTCCTAAGACATCCTGCGCGATTGTAAGGGGGAAGAAAGCCTCAAGTTCTTGAGGCCGGACTCAGGCAACAAGATCACACTGGTAAGACCTTTATAGTGCTCTTTTAAATCAGATTTTATCAAACTATCAGGATAAATGGAAAGAATACGTCCAATGCTGAACTCAAAATTTAATAGCAAACATCTCAAAGCCAATATAAATATCGTCACGCACCTGCGTTTGCTTGGGATAACTCCAATTTCATCACTTTCGCCATCTGGAGTTACCTGCCGGGCCTGCCACCATTCATCATCAGAAGCATTAATGACATGGAGAATATCGCCGAATTTAAAGTTCAGTCCTTGACTTGGAAGGCCACTGTCTTTAGTCTTGTCATAATCAAAGAGAGCTCTATATTGAAAATAAAATAAAATAAATAAAATAGAGGAGCGTCAATTAGGGAAAATTTGAAGTAAGCTGTGTTGTTTAAAAGTGGCTGTATCATTTGGACAGTTGCTTAAGACACAAATGCTGAATACTCCCTCTCTATAACATATAGAGACTATAACTATATAGTATTTTATAATATGCATATACATATACACACACACAACATGTATGTTTTTCATACTGTACAGAAAATCAAGAGGAATAGATACCTTCTGCAATTTAAAGGTGTACTTGCATAAGGAAAATCACACATTTTCTTGGGGAAGGCAGCATGAGACAAGTATTTTAAGTATATACTATTGTCAAAAGTTCTACCGCATTTGTCAATTTATATTGAATCATAAATTAGAATTATTTTAGTTAAAATACATGGTTTCCATTTAAAGCAAAAGTCCATCTCTTGCCCATAGAGTTGCAGGAAAAAAAGCAGAGAAATACAATCTGAGCACAGCTTAGCCTCTATGGTACAAAAAGGTAACTGTAGATCACCCTATGTGCAGCCTTTTGGAAGATTTCCTACCATTTGTTAGAGAATCTCAATTTTCTAAGGTCAGACTCCATTTGCAAATAATGGGCACTAGCAGTACCCGAGCACCAGATGTCTGGCGACTCTTTTAGCACCATTTCTTTTTCTTTCGCTAGCAAGGCTGGTTTCTGCAGCTTCCATGTTAGCCACAGCCACATTCCTTCAGCCTCCTACTGCTTCCTTTTTAGTTATGATAGCACAACTGTCTGGAAAGGCATGTGGTAAGGCATACTGGGGAACTAATGTGGGTTCAGACTATTTCTTTTCTCCCTGCTGGGTTATTTTAAATCTGGATCAGTTCCCTGAAGAGGTCTACAGCACATTTGTCTCAGCACAACAGAGAGTTTAGCGAGGATGTGGAACAAACAATGACAGGAACCCTTTTTAATCAAACCCTGCAACCATACGAGATGCTCCTAAAACTGTACCTTACATAGGAGTCTTATTTTATCTTTGCAACTAGTACAATAACAGATTTTAAACTGAGAAGTGCCTACCTGACACAGGGCAAAGAAAATTCCGTAATTTGTTATTTTAGCAGGGAGCTTTGGCAGTGACACACTTCCTAAAGGGCATCCTATCTGCATGGAGAGACCTACTAGGCCTATGTATCCTTTTCTCCTATACTTTCAAACTCTCAGAATTTCTTTTATGCATATAACTATCTGCAAGTCAAAACTGTTCGCACCAAACTCTATTACAGTTTTGTCAATTTTGTCTTTCTAAAGCACTGAACTGTGTTCCTTTAGATTGAGACTTTATTTGTTCAAAACCTAAAATAATTGCATGCTTACACTGAGATAACTGAGCATTTTCAGCTCAATCAATTCATCTGTCCACATTAGCATACAGTCTACTGCAGAATCAGAGTTGGTTGTGATCCCATGTCTTTTGGGGGTCACAAGAAGTCTCAAAAGTTCTTGACTGCATTTTCATTTTAATGAATTACTTTAATGCATCATGAAAACTAATTATTTCATGAGTTATTCTGTTAGCATTCAAGCAACGATTTGTCCCAGCACTGCTTTTAAGATTAGTTTCAATATAAACTTGTAAGAGCTCTGCTCTGCAGCAAAAACCATTCCTCCGCCTGCTTACTACGTGAGAAGATAAGAAAATTATACAAGAGTGAAATGTCAGAACGACACAAAATATAAAAAGCACTTAATATTAGAAATTGCGTCATGCTTTTTTATAGTTCCGCTTTCTTCTGGCCTCATTTATGCTTAATTCTATATGAATAAATTAATGAGGAATATTTATATTAAAGGTTTTGCTTTTTCCAATGCAATTTCTCTCTTGGTTATCAAGGAAATTATACCATAAGAAAATGCTATCAGCTGTAGAAATAATATTAGTTAATATAAGCTGTGAAAGGCAACTAAATCAAGTTTAGAGATGATTATAAATATGGACTGATGAACTGAAGAAAGGTTGGAATATGAAAAAAACAGAAAGACAAACTGGCACAAGCAAGTTATTAAAACTTCATTCACTCAGTAATAAAAACACTTTTTTTTTTTTTAAGAGAGGGCAAAAAGCAAATAACAGCACAGCTCTTCAAAGTTCTTACAGTGCTCTCAAGGGATATTACTACTTTTTTCAACTATATTACATTAATCATAAACCAAATTAAGTTTAATTTTTAATATATATCCATCATAATTTTTAATAAATTCTAGTCAAATTGGTTAAGTTCAGTAAGCGGTTAAAAACTTGAACACAGAAATAGGCAGTCTCTCAGAAAGCAGACAAACACACATCATGGGCAAGAGGTTGACTACCTGACATAAAGGGATCTCTTCTGGCTGGTTCGCAAAGATCCTGATCCAGAACTAATGCTACTGTTCATCATTTGCTCCCGTAAATCATGTATTTTAGCTTCAAAACGACTGTATTCTGTAAGAAGGGGAAACACTGAAATTAATTTTTTGATTTCTGATTAATTTCCTGCAATTAAATGCTTGAATTTCAGCAATGATAGTACTCACAGAAATGTGGAAAATATAAGAAAATAAACATGTTACTGTTGTAATTCAAGAAAATCTTTCAAAAACCAAGGACTACAACTATCGTTTGCAATTATAAAAAAAATCTGAGTCTTTCCATTTACCAACATTAACTGAAATGGAATTTGAAAGAACTCTGAAGAAACATAAAGTAATAACACAGCAAAATATCCATCAAAGACTTCACGTTTTTCAATATATAGTTTACAGTGACTACATTTTTCATAACTAAAAAAAGTTAGCTTTACGTGAATTATCACATTCAAAGTAACAAAATGACTGATGTGGATACATTTTAACTCATTACAAAAGAATATAGCAGAAGATATTTGAAACACATGTTTATCACAGAGAATTATGTACTTTAAACATAAAAAGTGGGAGTTAAGACCTGAAAAACAGCGTTCAATAGAAACTTTGGTCTTTAATCAGATAAAGAATTTAATGCTAAAGGTGGGAAATATGCAAAACATTTTTTGAATAAGACAATATTCTCATGGGATCCTAAAAAAAGATAGAAACACGGAATTCTGGCATGAGTCTCAATCCATCTGTAAAAGGCATTAGACATTCAAACTCCTTTTACATGCTTATGTACAGTGCTAATCCTGGAAAAACGGATTGTGTCCTTAAGCAGCACTGTGCACTAATAAAACTAACCTAAACACATTTGACTTGAGATACAAAGGCAGTAAAAGAGTAAGAGCTTCTTCAGGAAAAACATTTCCTGAAGGGAGGTACTTACATGCTGTCAGCATAACATAGGAACTCAAAACAAGTAAATTTTTCCTTCAGTTGACTAGCTTAGACTTCAGGATCAACAGATCTACTTCTCAAAGCTTTCTAGTTACAGAAACGCTCTACAGCCACCACCTTCTCGAGGAGCCCACGTGACACGAGATTATAACGAGTGAACACGGAGAGCCTGGGTGTGAGCAACAAGCAGCTGCTCAACAGGATCCGCTTGCACCATCCTTTCTGCTGCACCCTCATTCTCTGTGGGCATCGAACTTGCCCTGGGAATGTAGGACTGAAAGAGAGCCTTAAACTACAAAAATCTCAAGGAAATTTCTGAATTAACTTTCTTTTGACAGTCATGATAAGCACGACAAGTGTGGTGCTTTAACACCATGAATGATTGATCACATCACACTCTGTAGTATTTTCTCCCCATAAATTCAGACAATGACTACAAGGATTTGTAGACCAACCAGAGGGGGGAAAAAATTCCAATATTCCATATGTTATCGATAAGTATGCCACAGACTAGTTTCTGGCATACCATTTTATTGATCAGCTATAAAGCTAAATAACTTAGCAGTAACTGTAGCAGTAACAGTTATAATGAAGCCTATCCAAATTATGGCAATATGAAGTTCCTTCAGTTATCCCGACTTCGGTCCTTCAATATCAAAGGGTAGCAGTTTTTAAGACATTACCTCAGTTTTTCAAAATACTGTCAAATGTTTTGAACTAATGAAGTCCAGATGAAATAATTTATACCATCACTAATAAAGATAGATGTAGGTGAGGGAAAAAAAAATGAAAACGTTTCCACCACTATTGATGCTATCACCACTAGCAGAAGAATTCAAGATGACAGGATGGTACCCAAAGAGGCAAGTGAGAAAGTCGCAATCTTTAGAAGGCAACATCCCAAAGAGGAAGGGCCCAGACACAGAGAGAACAGATCTGTTCTTCCCTTGCTGCTGCAGCACCACAAGGCCTTGGGCAAGGCACTGCATTTCACTGTGCTTCTCCCCTTTCCTCACAGCAGCTGGTCTTAATTACTTAGATGGTAAATCCTCAGAGACAGACTCTGTTTTTAAGAAAATAATCTGACCAGGATTTCAGACAGCACTTGCATACCTCCAGCTAATTTGTACAAATGTGTATGTTCATATTATAACCCTGCTTAACAGCTGTTACCTCCTGTTCACAGCTGAATGTTGTGTAACAATGACTAAAAGGAAAGCAATTTCATCTTCAGATGACAACAAAGCTACCTGCTTATCAGGAAACATGTACCAAAATATCATCCACATACAGGAAGAAGTTACACAATACAAAAAACTTTCATAAAGTTGGAGATACTACAGGTAAAGCAAGTAAGAATAAAGACACTTATCCTTAGTCTCTCTTTCCAAGCAAGAAGCACCCATATCTGAAAAGAGCTCGAAGCCTGATCCCCTAAGGTAAAGGAGAAAGTGGTGTCTGTCCTTATGATTAAACTGAATACTGGCTCAAACTTGGTCTTCTAAGCACCACCACCCTAAGCAATAGTACATATTGTGGATGGGACAGACATTTATTAGTTTTTAACCTATAAATTCACTAGCAGTAATTCAGTGCATCACAAGAAAAATCTTTACTTTTTGACATGCTAATATTTTCTGACTAAAACTCAGTATGCCCCAAAATCCTTAATCTGTTCTAATCAAACAACATATAATCTAAATTAGTTAACAAGGTAAAATATTAATGGTTTCCAATTCTCAAGCTACATCACAGCAAAATTAAAAATATGTATATATACACATATGCTGATTTTCCAGTATATGTTCTCCTTCATTTCTCACAGGCACATATACACTTCTTCTTACACGCATGTTTGTCTTAATTTCAATCTTCCTATTGATCACCAAAAAAAAAAAAAAAAACCACCCAACACATGAACCTATAATGGAGACATCTGCTCATTTTAAGTGCAGCTCGGCAAATGGTCTGGGTTTTACTCAGGGGCTCAGAAGACCAGAATTTAAAACCCTGCAGTGACTTTTTTTTTTCTTGTGATATTGGCCACACTTCATTTTCTTTCCTATTAGCAAAACCATAATAGCTCTATTCTATAAAACCTCTTAAACAGCACAGATGTAAACAACATCAGTCACACCAATACTGCTAACATTCACTTCTCTTTGCCCAGTATCTCTCAAAAGATACAGACAAGTTTGCATTTATGAAGACCTCCAGACCCTTTTGCTGTTTAATTTACATGGTTACACTGCTCTGTTCATTAAAGAAGTTATTGTCAAAATATCTTATCAGGAGCTGGAGGTGGTTGTGTGTTCAAAAGTTATTTGGTTCTTGGGGAAGTTCTCAAACTGGCTGCCAGGAAAGCTCTGTTGTGTGAATGTGAACTGTCACAGTAAAGAACTGCATTTCACTTGAGAAATGATCTTTTAAGAAAAAAAAAAAGGCGAAAGACTTAAGTGCTAAGTTCTAAACATTCTACAAGAATGGTAGTGTGGATTCTAACATATGAGGTTTTTTTTCCAGTGTGAAAGAAAAGTAAGGATGGAAAACATTAGGTAATCCAAGCATTTTCTTGTGCTACCACCTGTTCACACTCTAAAATATCTGTAGTTCTTCACACCAACTGTCAGAAAAGACTTGTAAGTTTCAGTTAAGAAAGTTGTCTCATCTTGCAAGAATCAGATTTTCTCCAGTACAGTAGGTAAAGCAGCACTTACAGGGGAAACTATTGCTTAGTACTGCTCTATTCTATTTCATTGTAAATATTACCTGCACATTGCTGCTGCTGCTGCTTTCTAGAGTAACTCAATTTCTCTCATCAGACCTCCTGGGAAATAAGTGATAAATAAGAGACAGGGGCATCTATAGCAGTAAGCAGGAGAGTACTTTCTACAGAGAGGCTCCTGACATAGCAGAAAAAAAAAATCAAAAGAAACTAATGGGCTGCGACATAGAAGGTTCTAATGTTCAAGAAAAAAGGGTACCAAGAAGTGCCGCATTCAGAAGCTTAAAACACTGCACAGTTGGAACGTGCCGAGTCCCTTCACAGTTTACTGATGGAGAACAAACTGAGAATTTGAACTCTGCTTCTGTTTCCAAGAACTTGTGTAAGAACTGGATGGACAAGTACGTCAAACCATCACCAAGTCTAGAGCCAAAAAGTAGGCCTTTAAAGCCCTGAAAAGTTTGATATTAAACAGAGTGAAACTGAAACGAATGTTGGAAATGGAAAACCAGACAAGACTCTTGATAGCATCAGAAGACCAGCCAGGGTGGCATGCAGAGGATCAGCACCATCCCTGCTGACCAACAGACACGTGGCCTAATCAGCCATGGTTGAGCTTGGGCACTGCAAAGCGAAGTGGGGGCTCCGTGTAGCTCTGTGATTAGGAAGAGTTGGACAGCAGTTGTCTTCAGCACCTTCCATTAAAGAAAAGAACAGTGATGTCATGTGACAGCATATGAAATGTAGAAAAATAGTTGCAGGAGAACAGGCAGAAAAGTGACCACAGCTGCTCTGCCTTATGTGCTCTGCAGCAGAGGACAGGGACAGCCAGCAGCTGGTAGCAAGACTGGAATTCGCCACAGGAGGCTTGTACCAGATACGTGACCCATGTGAAGTAAAACAGTATTTCCTTTTACAGGAACATACCTAACCATGTAATGTTTTGAAACAATCTCTTCAGTAATACCTTACTGTCCTTACTGTTTATTAAACACAGAAAAGATGCAAAGAAATTGCAGAGAAATAGTATCAAAGTATGAAGAAAGATCAGAAGAACAATGGTAATGTTTTAGTTTAGTGAGATTTTTCCAAAGTTTCCAACAAGTTTACTGGTGGGATAGCACTTACAGTCATAACACGAAGCCGCGGCAAGCAGAGGATGTGCTGCTTCAGTTAACAACATTCACACAGCAGCAATACTCCTCCACTCCTCCAAGCAAAAATAAACTCAATTCTGATTTGCATCTATTTGATTGTTAGGAATGTCAGGTACTTACTTCCAGGTTCAAGTCTAAATCCGAAAACTAACGTGATAAGCAGATGCTGCAGAACTGGGAAAAAAAAAAATCTGCCTTTTTTCTGTCTGCAGGTATACCAAGCAGCAGAAAAGAGAGAGGAGGGATTGATTC